AAGCATGGACCCTCGTAAAACTCTGTGCATGTATCAATATATACTTGAATATGTGTCCGCGAAGGGCGCGCGAAAGTCAGGGCGAAAGTTGCGCTAAAGAAAATTATATTTTCGTGAAGAAGTCCATTTCGGGGATATGTTAATGTAGATCAACGCCCATATAGTGTTTTGGCAGTTGGTCTCGGTTGGCCCTCATTGGGCGCTGCGCCGGGCTCCAGCAAGGGCTCGTTGAGTATCATGTGATGTGGTTGATACAGCAACCTTCTGTTGTCCGTCTAGGCATCGTTACCCTTGGTGTTAGACAAGACAGCTCATCGAACTCTGTGAGTGCTTTGAGATGCACAGCCATGGCTGCAGGCAAAGGCCCTAGCAGAAGCAAAGTTGGTCTCGCTTCCGATTACTTTCCCTAGAATCCTCCAGTCCCTGCGTCCAACACTGGCACTGAGGGCGTAGCCATCGGTCTCCGGAAACACTTCATGATGATATTGTGCCACAGGAACCTCGACGCCCTCGACGCACCGACCCCAGCTCTTTGCCCCACCAGGCAGGAAATGGGGAGTGTGGGGATGCTCAGGTTCTTTTAGGAGCTGTGAGGGTCGTGGTGCTCTGGAGGTTCCCCACATGGGGGCCTTGCATGCCGCAGCTGCTTTTGTGGCTCAGGCACGAAGAGATCAGTGTGTGCCCCTCTGCTGCTCCACAAGCCATGGCTGCGCAGCCTCCACACTTGGAGGATCATGGGACTTAGTAAGTATGGTTATAAGTCCCCTAATTGGGGTTATAAGTCCCTTAATTGGGGTTAGAAGTATAGTTACCTTAGTTAGAACCCTGCTTACTAAGTCCCATGATCCTTTAAGCAAGCCCCAACCGAGGCCTTAGGCTTTCTGCTCAACTCTCGAAGGATGCCGGTAAGGGTGGTTTTCTAAATTAGGGTTCCCTGTTGGGGTCCTTATTATAAGGGTGCCGTACTATATTGGGGACCCAAAAGGAGCCCTAATTTAGAGAACTACCCGCAAAACTCTTGCTCATTCCGAGGGAAGTATTTAGCAAGCAGGGAATGCCGATCAGCAGATGGCCTGTGTTTACTGCAGCAACTCTGAGAAACAACAGAAGAAGCCCACCCGCAGGCGAAGCCGCGACTGAATGCAAAGACGCTGTTCGTGGTTGGTGCCATTAACCTGATTGAGTCTTGACTGACTGATTCAGGGTTTAGGGTTTAGGGTTTAGGGTTTAGGAGCGTGGTCCATGCTGCAGAATCTCAGGACAGTATCAACATGAACATGCTTTTGCCATACGTCGACAAGATGGTGTCCGCCTATCTGGATGTCAGCCCACAGAGCCCCGAAGTGGCCACAACTGTGGCCGAGCTCCAAGTAACACGACGTTTCCCTGGCCCTAAACCCTAAACCCTAAACCCTAAACCGCGACAGAAGTGCCAACTCAGCATTTCTGGATGGTCGTCCGAGGCTGCTCTGCTCATCGGGGTCTATTCACTCCTCGAGGCGAGTGGTGCATCCGAAGAGAGCCCAATACCCCCTTAATTAAGGCCCATCGGCCCCATAGTAGTTCCTTTTTGGGATTACCTTATAAGATTCCAAATATGAATCCCAAAAAGGAACCCAGAGAGCCCAATACCCCCTAATTAAGGAATATAGCTTAAACCATAATATTGAGGCCCCTCTGATTTAAGGTATATTCCCAATACCCTTTAATTAAGGAATATAGCTTAAACCATAATATTAAGGCCCCTCTAATTTAAGTTAGATTCCTGAATTTAAGGGGTATTCTGCTCTCTGGGTCCCTTGCTCCATCGCATTGTGGGCCCAGAGCAGAAGCGCAAGCTGCACGAGGTGATTGTCTCTCCTTTCTGGGGCATGCTGGCCGACATGATCGGGAGACGGTGAGCTTCTGAGAGTATCTCTTGCTGATCCACGATCAGTTTCTGTGTGATGTACACGTTCTCGTCTTGTTCAAATTATATAGATACAGGCGTTTGTACATATGGATGTCATGATGTATGTATGTACTGATGAATGCAAGTAGGCCAGAAATCAAGTACGGAAGGAAGGGAGGGAAGGAAGGATGGAAGGAAGGACAGGAAGGAAACATGGACGAAAGATCAAGCGCGCAAGATAAAGCTGGCAAGTACGCCCGCATGCATTTGTGGTGTGAGAGAGAGGGCAAAACGCATCAATCTGCAGGTGAATATACAAATACAAGCACGAGCAAACAAAGTGAATGTGTACCTGCCTGTCAACGAATGTATTGGGCAGAGTTAGAACCCACAGCATACATAGAGATGCTGACGACGGCAAGCTTTATGCGTGCATGGATACACATGAAGTCATTAATATGTATGCATCTGGGTATCAATGTGTGCCTGAGCCGGTGTACGGCTATTTGCATGCATGCATGCATGCATGCATGCATGCATGGATAGATGGATGGATGGATGGATGGATGTATGGATGTATAAGTTCAGGTGTATGTGAAGCTCCTGTGTTTTTGCAGCGCTTGTGTTTGTTTGTTATGATACCTTCAGGTGTTGTGCGTTGGTGTTGATGCATGTGCACGTGAGGGTCATCGCAGCTTATGTTTTCTATCTCTTTCGAGTGCATGTGGGGATTTCCGAAAATAGGGGACCCCAATATAGTACCCTAAATAATAGGATCCTTATTATAAGGACCCCAAAATAAGGTACCCCTTGTTTTCGGAAACTCCCATGTGGTGAACGGGCATCCTCCGAGCACTGCAGCTGGCTGAGGCCGTGCCTGCTAATCGGGCTTGCGGGCTCCGTGATTGCGCCCATTCTACTTGGTGACCTGGCACAGGAATCCGGTTTAGGGTTTAGGGTTTAGGGTTTAGGGGCGAATCGGTGTGATTCGCGGCTGAGATCACATGACGGCGAATGTAGTAGGGATAGTTCGCATCAGCACAGCACAGAGGGACGGACGCAGCAAGGTTTCAGCAAGAACATTATCATGGCGTTTGCAGCTCGCGCATTGGACGGCTTCTTCTGCGGCAACATGGTGGTGCTACCGGCTGCATCAGTGGGTTGAACTGGGGTTGGCCGGGTACCAGAAGCCCAGCCTAAGCCTGGCGCTCAGGTTACGAAAACCTACCTTGGTGAGCTCGTCGACGAGAAAAGCGAGGCGTCTTGCACAGCAGTTCTCGCTTCGACTGATGCACAGTTCATGCCTTCCCCAGCTTCTGGTGCAAACAAAAGCACAGCCCCTGCTATGGATTCAGTATGATTCAGTCCCAGAGACTCCAATATTCCTTAATTATGGAATATTCCTTAAATTATAGTAGGATCCTTAATATGATTTAAGGTATATTCCTTAATTAAGGGATATTGGAGTCTCTGGGTGCTGTTTGAGACAGCAGGCACGCGGCTTCAGCCTTCTGGCCTTTTGCTTCTCGCTTGGCCTCATCTTGGGTCCTGCCATGGGCGGTCAGCTGCTGGGCTCCGCCTTGGGGGTTCCTCTGGGAGTTTCCGAAAATTAGGGGTACCTTACTTTGGGGTTCTTATAATAAGGGTCCTACTACTATATTAGGGTCCCCTATGTTCGGAAACCCCCATCTGTGTAGAGGAGGGCACTGCTGCATGCCCAGAGAGCCCAATACCCCTTAATTAAGGAATATAGCTTAAACTATAAGGGCCTTAATTCATATTATGATTTAAGGTATATTCCTTAAATTATAGGGGCCTTAATATTATGACTTAAGGTATGTTCCTTAATTAAGAGGTATTGGGTTCTCTGGGTGGTTCATGGTTTTTCATTTGCAGAGCGCGAGGATGAGGTCGTGGTCGCGGTCCTGTTGGTATCGTGGGTGGCGTTGATGGCTTCGGTCGCGTTGGTGGTGCTGGTGGTGTTGGCCGTGTTGGTAGCGTTGACGGTGCTGGTGTTTGTTGGCGTTGGAGCTGTTGGCGGAGATAACCCTAAACTCCTAAACCCTAAACTCCTAAACCCTAAAAACCCTAAACCCTAAATCCTGAACCCTAAACCTTAAACAGGGTGGCGGTGGTGATGGGTGCGGCGGGTGGGGTGGGGGGTGGTGGCCGTGGCCCTGACCCTCCGTCCTTGTCCTGTTCCTGGTGGTTTTGGTGAGTGTGGTAGTGCTGCGGTCGTAGTGGTGGTTGTAATACAGCAGCAGCAGGAGGAGGAGCAGGAGCAGGAGCAGGAATAGAAGCAGGAGGAGCAGGAGGAGCAGGAGGAGCAGGAGCAGGAGAAGGAGGAGGAGGAGGGGGTAGTAGGAGTAGGCGGTGGTAGGAGTAGGTGCAGGAGTAGGAGGAGGAGTGTAGTAGGAGGAGGAGGAGGAGGAGGAGTAGGAGGCGTAGGAGTAGGAGTAGGAACAGAAGCTGCAGCAGCAGCAGAAGCAGCAGCAGTGGTGGTAGTGGTAGTGGCAGTGGCAGTAGCAGAAATAGTAGCAGCAGCGGTAGTGGCAGCGGCAGCGGCAGCGGCAGCGGCAGCGGCAGCGGCAGCGGCAGCGGCAGCGGCAGCGGCAGCGGCAGCGGCAGCGGCAGCGGCAGCAGCAGCAGCAGCAGTAGCAGTCGCAGTGGCAGTGGCAGTGGCAGTGGCAGTGGCAGTGGCAGTGGCAGTAGCAGTAGCAGTAGCAGTAGCAGTAGTAGCAGTTTAGCAGTAAGCAGTAGCAGGAGTAAGTAGTAGCTGTGGTAGCAGTAGTAGCAACAGTAGTAGCAACAGTAGGAGCAGTAGC